TCCCCATGCTCCTAGCATTAGTATAGAGGCACTTGAGCCTGCCAAATGGTGCCTTTGGTGCCCTCCCCATTCTGATGCCCAAAGGGCCCCTTCGTACTTAGTTTAAAGCCCGATGTAGGAGGTCAACCAACCTGTAGGAAAAGAGACTCTAACCTTTTATGGTCGGCTTACCTTTTTTGGTAATTCTGTCAAGTCTAAACATATTTTATGCAGGGTGGGATTCACTATAAGCTTTTTATTGTATGATATTTTCATGTCTTTATTTGAATTGTTACAGTAGTTATCTGTAGTTTGATCTCAGCATTTTACCTTCCAGTGAATATGGTTTTGCTGAAAAGGTGGTAGAAGGAATTTCTGTTTCTGTGAATTCCATCATAATCCGCATTGGGGCAAAAGCTTTTAATGCCTCCTTTGAACTTTCCCAGTTGAGAATATATAGTGTAAACGCAAACTGGGAACATGGTGATCTAAGATTTACTCGGATACAAGAATCTCAGCGAGGAGAGGTAAAGAATTCTTTTTGCTTTTTTTGTTTTTTATTATTGTCCCAATATAGAAAGTTAAATAAACTGTGGTTTTATAATTGTAAACTATCTAGGAAACATACCCTGGCTGTGTCTGGAGTGCTTCTGCACTCCCATTGGTCTTTGCTGCCTCCACGTGCTTCTAGAACAGTGTTCCTCAACCCTTTTAGACTCAAGGTGGAAAAATAATAATGCAATTCTTCTGTTTCAAAGAAATCAGAAAAACCATAATGGATCAGAGTGTTCTTGACAATGGATTTATATTTAAAAATTCTGGGTTTCTCTTCTGAATTATGTATAGGTGTTTGCACACCTAACAGAGCTAATATTGAGTGGCATCCTTAAAAATGTGCCATGGCATGATGGCTGAGAATCACTGCTCCAGAAATTGTCAGCCAAGTGGGTTGAAGTGTGTTAGTGTGGACTTTATTTGGAACTATGTCCATCTTGTTCTATTTAGGGTTAATTATTCCCAACAAATACTGTTCTTCTGGACTAGATTGACCAATATCTGCCACTTACGTAAGAGAAGCAAATGCTAATTCTCTTAAAAACCCACAAAAATAATTAGAAAGCTAATCAACTCATAAAAACTTGTACTTCATGTTTACTCTGTACTCTGTGGACCTAATGTAGTTTATATGAACTTTAATAACAGGTTAATGACCAGATTTTTTGAAATCATATATATAGATGTTTCAAATCCATGTGCTTAATAGGTACAGTAAGCTAAAGAATTCTGAAGTACTGCTTGGGTGTATTTGCATGTGAAATGAATGCTTGTCTGATTCCATCACTACTTGTAGGCTGCCTAACCATTAGTTCTAGTATTAAGGCTAGGGACAGACATTACACATAAACCAGTTTGAAAATGACCAAAACCAGTTTGAGAGAAACCTGGTTGAATGCAGTATCAGACTTAACTGATTTGGATCAAACTGGTTTATGCAATGTCTGTCCCAGACCCCTTCCTGTTTTAAGTTCAGCCAGACTCCCCCAGCATCCTGGCATGCTCTCTGAGCTGGCTTTTCTGCTCGCCACCAGAGCTGGCCCCTTCCCGCTGCTCCCTGGCTGGAGCTCCCACAGAGACTGCAGGTACAGTGGTGTCTGCCTGGCTTCCTCCTGCTCCTGCAAAATAGTGGCAGTGCGCTTTTGAACTAAAGCACCTCCTAGGTGTTTTAATTCAAAAGCACACCACTGCTGTTTTGTCAGCGCTGACGCACATTTCACCACTTATACAACTGCATCTGTCTCGGCACCAGGAGCTTTCCAAAGCACCCGGTACTGCGATTCATGCATGTGTAAAAATGCCCTTGGATTGTAATTGCTTCATGAGTAATGGTAAAGGAGCAGATAAAGATATTTCGGGAAAAATAAACTATTTATTACCTTTCTTTGATTTTTTTTTTCTTTTTATACTCGTTTTCCTTGTTTCTTCCTGGTTTCCTTTGGTTTTTAATATCAAGCTAAATCGGGATGGGGGTGGTTGCAAAAACTTGTAATTTCTTCAGGGTTTATTCCCTCATATATAAATAACCCTTCCAATCCACTTACTTTTTTTGCTCACATATGGCTCTTGCTTGGTTTCTCCTGAGCAGTCTCCTAGATTGAAAGAGTTTATACCTGTGGGATAGAAAATGTATGCAATAGCTCACTTTAGTTAAAGGGAAAAAAAACCCTTTGCCATCACATCTTTCCCAAGTTACCATTTTAAGGCTATTCAGTGTCAGAAGTTCTGTGACCCAGCTTTGTGGAAGAAACCGGTATGAAATGAATTGCGGCTTTTTCAAAGCTTCAAGTCCTAACCCTTTTACTTAAGATACGTTGCTTTTGCATATTCTATGTAAAGTTTTACCAACTGATAAAATGGAATATTACATTAATGGGGTGCTCTTTTTTTAAAGGTACTGACTTTTAAAGAAATCAATTGGCAGATGATCAGAATAGAAGCAGATGCAATCCAGAGTTCTCAGCATGAAAACATGTGTGCTCCTGTTCGATTGATTACCAATCAGTCAAAAATCAGAGTCACACTTAAAAGAAGGGTAAATTTGAAAAGTTTGAGCCTATAATCCTTTTAATCTATAATTATTTTATAAACCTCTTTCATTTGTTTTTGTGTGAATGAAATTTATTTTTAAAAAGCACTCTATAGAGGTATACATGAAGCAGAGTAAAAAATGTCACTCACTGAATTTGAGATTTCATCTTGTATCTTCATCAAGAAACTAGCTTACAAAGCTCTAATTAGTTAGACCTGTGTAATGGAGAAAAAATAGTGTGAGTAAAATTTTAAAGACTACAAGTTGTAAAGATTTTGTTAATGATTGAATTTGGTTCAGAGAGGCTGTATTTCTGATGATGTATAATGAGAAAAGATCACTACTTCTCAGGGTTTAGGTTGCATTTACTGGTTGGCAGTTAGAAAAGTGGACCTCTTCAGCATTTTTGTATGGTTAATATGCAACAAATGTAGCTATGCAATGGAATGATATAGTTCTTTCTAATTAAAGAAGTATCTGATTTTTAAAAGAAGTAATAATGTACTCCTGCATGGAAAAAGATCATGTTTCTTTGGTATCATATTCTTTACCTTTGCTCTTATTTCTTTTAAATATTTATTTCTTAAACCGAATGTAATATTTCTGTTTTTTTCAAATGTTTTAAATTTATTCAACAGTTGAAGGATTGCAATGTAGTGGCAACAAAACTGGTTCTGATACTGGATGATTTGCTTTGGGTTTTGACTGATTCACAGTTGAAAGCAATGGTACAGTATGCCAAATCTCTTAGTGAAGCAATAGAGAAATCCACTGAACAAAGAAAAAGCTTGGCTTCTGAACCCACACAGGTAAGCTAATTGATACCATAAGGCATTATACTAAGTACAGATACTTAAAACAGTGTAAGATGCAATTAGTTGGCCTGGCTTCTTTTGGAGAACACCTAGTTATTCCCCCTCAAGAGTTAGCAGATTTGGACAAACCAAAATGTTACATGGCTTTAAACAAGATGGGGACTAGGGGTATGCGAAGTGGGCTGTATTCAATTTGGATTTGGATTCGGCCCAATATGGGGGACAGCGATTTGATTTATTGATTTGGATCACTGTCCCAGTTTGGTTCAGCTGAATCTGAAGATTGGATGCTGATTCAGAGAATCAGCGATTCATCCATAGACACAGCTTTAAATGTTTTTTCTACATACCTCGAGGTACCAGGTGCAGCTCATGAATGCTGAGATGGTGAGGGCATGCTTGGTGGTGGATCTGGAAGTGGACCAGAAATACTTTTGGTCCACTTCTGGGTCCAATGCCAAACACGTGGGGGGAACCTCCCCCACACGCCCTCCCAGCTCGGTGATTGGCCATGGGGGGACCTTGGGTGCTCCCCAAACCTAGTTGCTGGGGGTGGGTGGGATCCCTATGTGCTCTGTGGCAGACCCAGAAGTGGACTGGAAGTGCTTCTGGTCCACTTCTGGGTCTGTCGCAGAGCACCCTGGGGACCCCCCTGCGCTCCCGTGAGACGCTCCCTCCGCCCTAGCATCTCAGCATTCACAAGCTGCCTGGTACTTTGAGGTGTGTAGAAAAAACATTTAAGGCTCTGTCTGTGTCCGAATCATTGAATCTCTCCCGAATCAATTCGGAGTGTCCTGATTCGATTGGGATTCGGCGATTCGGCCGCCAAATTGGGCCGAATCACCGCTGAATCGAATCAGTGACTGAATCTTCATACAGCCCTAACAGGGACTCAGTATGGTGCAGTGGAATGTATGCAGCTGTTTCATCTTTTCACTACTAAACTGTAGTTTTTTTATTTCCTGTTCATGGGCAGATACAGGATTTTGAAAATGGTGGGGTGCAGATGGTATGATGCATCATCACATATAACAGCTCACGTTTTTCTCCAGTTATACAGAAACTAGAAGCTTTCCTAATATGCTAGGGGGTCCAGTGCTGTATTATTTAGTTTAAGGTCAAAGCAAAAACAAATGTAGATGTATTGAAATGTGTACTAATTTGTTACTTTAAAGTTTAACAAACAGAACAAACTAGGTGAATATAGTGAAAAGAGATATTATTTCATTAGCCCTGCAGTCATTATAGTTAAATGTACATCTGTTATTCAGATTTGTAAAATAAATTCTAGGCTTCTTGAGTGTCTTGACAGCACCTCTAATACTTTACTGTCAGTCATTTCTACACCTGAGTTACTATTACCACACCTCAGTTAAGGTTTTTATTTAGACCTAAAAAAAAAAATCTGTAGAGCTGTGAAAAAGGAGAGAGGCATTACTAGGAATGGTTAACAAAGAGTAACATTGCTGAGAAAAGGTTAGTTTAAATAGTGGGACCTCAAGGCAATTAAAAAGGAAAGGGGGTTGTTAACACCTGTGGAGTGACGAGAGATTAGCAGGATTCAGGTAGATTATAATGAGCCACCACGTCAAGTGACTTTCTCCTTGCTGTCTGAGAAATGCTGCTGCTATCAGTCAGTTGGCTTTAAAGTTTGGATGGAGCAAGAGTCAAAGGTATGCAGCTGCACTACTGCACACCCAGATCTATCCCTGTCCCTGTTACATTCAGGGTGAATTTCTGCAGTTACCTGTATTGAATGTGGGTTATGAATAGGCAAATGAAAGAGTGACAGTGGATTCGTTGATGCGTGCTTCCTTTGAAACAGTCTAGTTTTATATTTGTCCATGCCCTAATGCAAACTTTTTGTGGCTGGTGGTGGTGATGGGGGCAAGGGTTCTTATACAATATTTAAAAGAACTGGTCTAGTTGAATTCACATATACTGAAATGTCAGGCTTTAATAAGAGTTTTTGCTTTTATAACCTGACCTCTTCAATTGGAACTTGCAGTGAAATCCTAAACCTATCTTGACATAAGCCTGTTGCTATGAAAGTGATACTGAAAGCACATGCACAGTATTAGATTATGCACAAATCCTCCATTTATTCCAACACATAACAAACCAGACTGATTGGGCTTTGAGGGCTTTTCTCCTCCTTCCCTCATCTATGAAGAAGCAGAGATGCTTCTTTAGGGGGCAAGAAACTGTTTTCTTCCAGGATGACTGACTTGCTGGAGAGAGCTTTAAGCAAGCTGCAGTGGGGGAGGGGTGTGCAGATAAGAATGCAAGCCAGGGAACAGCCAAGCGGGAAGAGGATGTACAGAGGGCAGTTAGGGAGGTGTTGAGGGGCTGGAACAACATCAAGGCAGCAGGGAACGGGGGGTTACCAGTGGGGGACAAGTGTTTAGACACAAGCACTAGGGATATGGGGAATTAGCAGGAGGAACTGGCACTCCTGTTAGCAAATAGGGAATATGATCTCATTGGAACAATGGAGACCTGGTGGGACACCATGCATGACTGGGCTGGGCTGTATGTATAGAGGGTTACAGGCTGCACAGAAGGGATCGGGTAGAGAAGAAAGGAGGAGATATAGCATTCTATGTAAAGGAGCGGTATGCCTCCTCGGAGGCCCAAATTGGTTCAAGAGAAGGGTGACTTGAGACCCTATGGGTCAAGATATGGTGGGGGATGAGGAGAAGGGGACTTGGTGGTAGGTGTCTACTACAAACCACCACACCAGGAGAAGGACCTGCATCTGGAATTTTCCACAAAACTGATAGAGGCTGAATGTAGAAACCAGCAGCACACTTATAGAATGGGAAACTCCCTTCTTGAGAGCACGGAGGCAGAAAGGGATCTTGGAGTCATTATTGACTCCAAGATGAACGTGGGCCGACAATGCGAGGTCACGGTTGGCAGGGCTAACCGGACCTTGTCGTGCATCCACAGGTGCATCTCAAGTAGAGCCAGGGACGTGATCCTCCCCCTCTATGCAACGCTGGTCAGGCCACAGCTGGAGTACTGCGTCCAGTTTTGTGCACCCCATTTCACGAGGGATGTAGACAACATTGAAAGGGTCCAGAGGAGGGCCACCCGCATGATCTGGGGACTATAGGGCAGACCCTACATTGAAAGACTGCGGGACCTAAACCTGTTCAGCCTTCACTAGAGAAGGCTGAGGGGGGTCCTGGTGACTGTCTATAAACTCACTAGGGGCGACCAGAAGGGTTTAGGGGAGACACCGTTTCCCCTAGCACCCCCTGGCATAACAAGGAACAATGGACACAAATTATTAGAGAGTAGGTTTAGATTAGACATCTGCAAGAACTAGTTCACAGTTAGGGCAGCTAGGAGCTGGAACCAGCTTCCTAGGGAAGTGGTGCTGGCTCCTACACTGGGGATCTTTAAGAAGAGGCTGGATGCCTACCTGGCTGGACTCAAATGAGTCCAGTCTTCTCTCCCGCCCAGGCGGGGGGTTGGATTTGAAGATCTACAAGGTCCCTTCTGACCCTACTTCTATGATTCTATGATACAGGAGGTGAATGGGCTGACCAGGGGGAAGGCTTTGTTGAATTTGGTTCTAGCTGGAAAGCTGAGCGGAGAGGAACTGGATGCAGTTCAGTAAGGATAAATGCAGAGTGCTTTATCTGGGGAGAAGTTACCAGCAACATGAACGTAGGTTAGGAGGTGATGTCCTGGCCAGCACGATGGCCAGGGCAGCGGGGAGCTCGGAGCAGCAAGTAGCTTCTGTGCATCTCCCTGCTGTGACCTGCCACTCTGGGTTCCATACACTGCTTTGTAGAGGCAGTGGGGAAGGCAGCATGGTGGGGAGAATCACCGGTCCTTGCAGCCTCCCAGGAGCCTGGGGAGTCTGGGAGTCTCCCAGGAGCCTGGGAGTCAGGTCTGGGAGGCGGCTGGGGCACGGAGGCAGCGGCTGTTTGCAGCCTCCCTGCTGCAGCCGGCCCAGGCTCTGGGCAGCCCAGGCTCTGTGGCTGTCAGCAGCTACCCAGAACCTGGGCCAGCTGCAGCCAGGAGCCTGCAAACAGTGGCTGCCTCCCCACCCCGGCCCTGGGTTCTGGGAAGGCAGCAGGTGCCGGCACTGTATCCATCGGGGCTGGGGCAGGGAGGCTGGCAGTGGCACGCCAAGCAAAATGGCCTTGCGTACCATGCTCGGCACGTGTGCTGGGGGTTGCCAACCCCTGTTAGAGGATGGTTTCAGTTTGGATGTAAGAAAGAACTTCTTTATAGTAAGGGTGACCAGAATCTGGAATAGACTTCACAAGGAGGTGGTGCGGTCCCCAACTTTGGAAGTCTTCAAGAGGAGACTGGACACACACCTTGCTGGGAATCATTTGATCTCAGCAGTATTCCTGCCCAAAGCAGGGGGTTTGAACTCGGTGACCTTTTGAGGTTCCTTCCAGCCCTTAATTTCTATGATTCTGTGCTCCTCCAGCACCCCTAATGTAACTTGAAATTGCAGTAGCAGAGCTATTCCTTGAAAAATAATAGCCATTGTATCTGTATGCTGGCACATCTACTTTGCAGGCTTGCACTGAGCCATACTGCATAGACCTCTATCAGTTGCGGTTAGGGCACATTCCCTTCACAAGCTGTATAAATTATCCCTCATTTCCCAATATTATATAGCAGAAGTGCAGAAGCCTAGCTTGCTGAGTCAGGATCCCTGACAAAATAGAGAACAATTTGGTAGGCAGAAGGTGAATTAAAAAATGAGACTCTAAGGGTGGTTATACATGTGCTTCGGGAGCTTTTAGGAGGTGGGCACTTTAATTAGAGCAGCTCCAAGAACTGCTTTCATTTAAAATGCCCAGAGCATCTTGTGTATCAGTGTCCCTGCATTTCAACATGGCGGCAGAGGTGCTTTAACTAAAGCTTTCTTGAATGAGCTTTAATTAAAACATCCCTGCCTCCATTTAGTTAGAGCGCCCCTGCCACAGGGACACTGATACATGAGATGCTGAAGGCTGCTGGGGTGCAATAATTACCATGCTCCAGCAGACTCAGTTAATTGAGTCGGCTCTGACATGCTGTAATTACAGCACGTCAGAGCAGCCTTGCTGCTTATGTATAGGCACCCTAAGTCTATAAGCCCTAAGCTGATCAGGCTGCTAAGCACAGGTAATGCTGATAGAAGATGGTCGTGGTAAGAAAAAAAACATGAAAAGCTTGGTATAGCCAATGCTGCTTAGTAACAATATGTTAGTTCCTTGGTGTTTTGTTGCTTCTAAACATCTGTTGCTATTTATAGGGAGTGTCCGAATTGCATGGGAGGGAAAAATGTTCTAAGGGAAAGTGTTGCTGGAAAGCAGCTGTTGCTCTTATTAGGTGTTGCAACAAATGGGTATTAACTGTACTTAAGTTGCTGCTACTGCAACACAGCCAGTGCATTGTAACAGAGATTTTAGTCCTTTGCTGCAGCAATATATCACTGACTTATTTACCTTATTAATTATGCAAGAAGAATACATGTATATTTATATAATACATTTGGAAGCTTTCTTCTTGCATAAGAGTCCTGTTTTAAGTAAGTAGAGGAAAGATTTTCAGACACAAATGCATAGTAATTTGCCTAAACTGTTGTTCAGTGCTTTTTAAAAATGTCACTAGAATTGTTTGTATGTTTCAGTCCTAAATGTTTGTAGTTCATGCTTGAAACTGAAGTAGTGCTAAGGATAAATGTCAATTGACATTATGTATCTAAATCTTTTTTCAGAGTTCTGCCCCTGCACCCAGCTCTCAGCAAGTGAAAACACACCAGACGTCAGCAACACCTGATCAAAATGATGCAATTGTAAAATTGTTCAATGATTTTGATGTTAAGGAAACTTCGCATCATTTAGTAATTTCCCATTTGGATCTGCATATATGTGATGATATTCAATCTAAAGAAAGAGGTAACAACACTTATATCATATTTCTGTATCCCAAAAATTATTCTAGAAAAGGTTTTAATAATACTCATTAGTATTGGTGTTGTCTGTCTTTCTCACAAGTGCATTATGTGCCTGTATCTTTGGATTTATCCTGAGTTAGCTAACAACAATTGAAGTTTAATAACTTGGCTTTTATTTGTTTTAGAATAAGTTATATGTAGCATTCATTATGTAATTAAAAACTGCAAGTAGTAATTGCAATACTTTTCTTCCAATGTTCTCTGTACTGCTTTTCTTCCTTTCCCCCACCAGTATTTTCCTTTATTGAAGAGCTAATTGGGTTATTATATATGTAGTGGCAACATTACACTGTGTTTTTGGCTTGGGGTTCTTCAGTTCTACACATTTTTATGGCATTCTGTATAGAATGTGAATAATTTAGAAAGATAGAAAAGAAGTGTAGTTCTGTTTTCATCATTGACCTAAAGATTTCAGGAAGTAGTACAAAATCTGCAGCCTGAAGAAGGTTTCTGAGGAAGAGTAATTTTTCTAATTTTCTTACATTTTAAACAGAGGCAGCTGAAGTGCCTGCCTTCATTAGAAATAATGACAAATAATTATTTTCATACCACCTAAGTTGACCAGAATAGAATGACATATCTGTGTATATTTGAAGGGTAATTTGGCTATTCCTCGTGTGTCTAGGAGGCTTCTTTAATTTCTTTTATTATTCTCAATGTCCAGTAAATATAAAGTCAGTTTTTCCCTGAGTAGGGGAGATACAGCAACCTGTAGCAACACATTTACCATCTAAGTATATTGGCTATCCCATCTTGTCTCAGTCATTCAGGCCAGTATTCATTCTTATAAAGTTCTTAGTGGCATCTTGTTTATTTATTTTTTTTTTTGATCCAATATTGTTGACTGTGGTGATTCAGTGCAGTGAAAAAAGTCAGAACAGAGATGTTTTGGAAAAGCTTCCTTGGCTGAAGTAGTGTCTGGTAAATGAAGTACGGAAGCATTTTTTGGTTGCATTATGCTGACAACTTGGCCTATTAATTTTGAATGACTCGGGCATACCTTCCAAATAACATAATAGTTCCACTTCAGAGAAATGATGGTAGTGTAGGAGTATCTTGGATATGAATAATTATGTTCACAATTTCAGAACTTTAGGAAAGTAAGTATTATTGGTATGACTCACTTTAGCCATGTAGGGTGCATACACATGTACTGAGATGACTTAAGTTAAGCCACATCAGAGTGTATGCACACATAGCTCATTGACATGGTGGCAGACATCTTGTGAGCCATATCAACTTAACTAATGTGACTTGATGATACACTTCAGAGGTGTATTAACTTGTGCTGCATTTATGTTGACTCTGCTCCACATAGGTATGTATGTTCTGACAGTTTAAAAAAATTAAGTTGCCTTAACTGTTAGAAAGTTAGTACATGTGTGCGTACCCCTAAGTAGCATTTTGGGATACTTATGCAGGTTTAATATCCTGATCCTCCTGTGCAACTCCACCCTGTCCTTGGAAGAGAGTTGCTTTTGATGTACAGACTCAGTAGAGATCCTGCTTCTCTATCAGGATCCATAAACTCTGTTTAACTCCTGTTAGTCACTGAGCAAAACACAATTTGTAATGGGAGGGAGAGAGGAGGAGGGTCTTTTCCACCTTCTAATTGATTAGTCTAATGTTTGGGACCAGGGAATGAGAGATCAATTTCTAGGGCCTCATCCTCCCCTCACTCAGAAGGGCTTTGAACCTTACATTTCCCAGCAAAGTATCCTAATTAGTAAGCATGGACTAGCTATTGCCAAGAGCACTCTTCACCCTCCTGTTGAAACTGGCTCATTGGAAAGCCAAGAGGAGGTACGTGGAGTCAAGAAGGATACAGCTCAGTGAGCTATATGCACAGCTTTGGCAGGGACAGCATCTAGGTTTTGGCCCACACCAGCATCCCTGCATTTTGCTAATAGTGGATAAAATAGACAGACAGTACTTGGATAGAACCCAGATCCCTTTCCACTGTAAAGTAATGCCCATCTAACTGAGCTCTCACCCCTTTTGGTCTGCTTTTTCTGGCCCTACACATTTTTCTCTGGTGTGCTGCTCAGTAAGTCAGCTAATCTACAGTAGAAGGAGTGGAAAGCGCTTTTGGCAATATCTAGTCCAGGCATAGGCAATTCCTGGCACACTTGCCAGAACATGGGACGTGAAGGCATTTTGCTTGGCGCACGCATCTCAGGGCAGATGGCATGGGAGCTGTAAGGGACCTAATCCTTGTTGTGGCAGTATAACCCTGGCCTATTCCCCACCACGTGCCTCAAGGCATGTGTGCACTGCACCTGCCTCCAGTAACAAGCTGGGCCAGGGCTCCACAGACCCTGGTGCAGCTGCTTGCAGCCTCCCTGCTATCTACTGCAACGAGCCTAGGCTTGGTGGTGGGCTGCCCAGAACTTGGGCTGGCTGTCGCAGGCAGCCAAGAGGCTACAAGTGGCTGCATCAGGGTCTGCAGAGCCCTGGCCCAGTTTGTTGATGGTAGTGGGTGCACACATGCCTCCAGGCAGACCGTGAGGAAGGGGCCAGTGTTGCACTGCCACAACAAGGACCAGGCCCCTGGCAGCTGTCTTGTTGTCCTCCCTTGGCACGCCAACATCTTACAGGTGAAGGTTGCATATCTTTGGCACTCTGCCCAAAAATGTTGTTGACCCCTGATCTAGTCTGTGGCTTAGCGGCTGGAACTCTTTGCTGGGAAGTAGCAGATATAGAGTTAAAGCCCTTCTGGGTGATAGGGGCCCTGTTCTTGGGCCTTCCAGTCCATGGGCAAGTTCCTTAAGCACTAGGCTATTTGGCTAAAAGGTGGGAGAGCCCTTTTCTACTGCTCCTAGTTGTATAGGGTTTTTTTTGGGGGGGAGGTTGGGTTGGGTTGGGTTTTTTTTTTTTAATTTTGCGTGGAGTTCTGTGCCTTCCTGGGATGGAGAAGCATCTAAAATCCATGTACGTAGCCCAGGATGATGTTTGTCCATCTAAAGGTGAAGGTTGATGTAGGCTAATGCAAGTACTTAGCTTTTCAGTTGCAATAAATATTAACATTCAGTAGAGGTGCACTGATATATCAGTCTATATCGTATCAGCACTGATTAAAAGAAAAATTGACACTATCAGCAAGCAGCTTTTTTTGGCCGGTGTAGTTGATGATGTCACTGGACTTGATGATCTTCTGAGGTCCTTTCTAGCCCTAATGTCTATGAAATGCTGCATGCATGCAGGCAGCCAGCAATGCAGCCCAGCAGCTTGGAGAGTAGTGTCTGGCCAGTAAGGGAAGGGGTGTTGGGGGGGGCAGAGATAGAGGCCCTCGTGGTGAGGGAGGGAGTGGGGCTGGAGCAGGGGCAGGTGCTGCCCAGCTGGGTTGGGGCAGAGTGCAGGGTGATGCTGTGGGTGTCTCATCCACGGGGCATGGGGGTGGAGAGGGGGTGCAGCTCACTGCTGTGCACATCCCCGGGGGCGGCATGGGGGGGTATGTGCCCCCAGGATTTGTGCACAGGGTGAGAGCGGGTTCCATGCTGCGGGCTCAGTGCCTCTTCCTGGTAGGGGGGCTGGGCCAGGGCTGCAGTTGAGGTGGGCTTCTTCCCATCATAAAGAGGCCGGCTCAGCCCCCAGCCCTGAGCCTACAGTGGGCAGCCTGCCCTCTACCTGTGCACAGATTTAAGGAGCACATGCCCCCAATGCCTCCCCTGGGGGCACAGCCAGTGGTGGGAGCCAGCCCCCTCTCCGCTCTCCCGTGCCCCCCAGATAAGCTGCTCATGGCTCCATCCTGCGTCCTACCCCAGCCCCACTCTCTCTTACTCACAGTGGGGACCTTGATTTGTCCCCACTGTCCCCCACCCCCCAGCACCCCTTCTCTGCCACACACTTACTGGCTGGACACTGCTCTCCAAGCTGCCAGGCTGCATATCAGCTATTGGATTGGTATTGGCAGATATGGCTGGTTAATAACTGACCATTGATATTGGCCAAAAATATCTTTATCGGTGCACCCCTAACATGCAGTTTGTACATCCCAGTGGTATTGCAGTGTAGGTCTGCAGTTGTCAGGCTGATCTGCAGACACCACTACTGTTTTTCAGAATTTGAAGAGATCTTCAGCAGATGTTTGCCAGATTATGAGGAGAGATGCTGGATAGAGGGAATCTCTTAAGAATTCATGAAATTAATTAACTTGAGTCATTTAATCTGTGGCAGTGGTTTTTCAATTGCTAAATATTGCCTCCTTTTACAGACTCAAACAGGCGTATTACAGGAGGTGCGATGCAGCTTTCCTTTAGTCAGTTAACTGTGGACTACTATCCTTTTCACAAAGCAGGTATGAGATATATTTATAAATATATTAATACAATTTAATTTTAGATAGAAAAGGCTTGGGCCATAATATTTGTATATACCAATATTTAACTACAGTGTCCACAAATAAGTGTTTTTGACTGAAGATGAAACGCTTAGAATTCAACCTACTTTCTCTAAACTAGCTATTTTAAAGCTTAACTGAATTACTTTCTGCTAAGTCTGCAAAAAAAAAGTTTAAACAGATTTTGACATGTCAGCAATTGTTATAAAATACTCTAATCCATTTATCACGCAGGATTTTACTTTATTAACTTACTTTACCCTACCTCAAATTTCCATCTGCTAGTCTAGAAATTTGCAAATTTTTGTTGATTTCACTTCTTAATCAAATGGGGTGCTTATATGATAGTGTATTAATATTCCTTAATATTAAGGAGGGAATTAAATTTACTTTGCTGTTAGTAAATTCCATGCTTTCTTGCAGATTGCTTCTAGTTATATCTTTCGGGAAGACGCTCCCTCCCACCCAAATAATCTTTGTTTTTAATAATAGTTGCTAAAATTTGGCAAAATGTTACAGCTCAAGTTTCAAATTAGATGCAACATAATATACTGTGTTTACTTCAACAAAAGATGACCCTGATCATAAACACCCCCCCAATAATTAGATTCTATATATGGAAAAATTATAAATGTTTCATTTTCCAGATATAGAATAGGATCTATTTATTGGAGGTTTGCCTTGAATATGTCCCCCTTTCACTGCTGCAGCAGGGAAAATAAATCTGGGGGGTCAGGTAGCCCCTTTGCATTCTGCTTCTCCCCCACAACTTTGTCCCTTGGCAGCTTCTTCCCCTTATCCTTACTATCAGATCCTGCTCTCCCTGAGCACATGGAAGTCAGGAGCAAATTTAAAAACAATCACCTTGAAATTAAACATGGCTATAGCAATTTGCATATAGCACCCATGCACTTACTTTATTCAGAATCAATGCATGTTATTTTTTTGTGAAATTGCTGCAAGTTTTAGTACAGGTGCTATATAAACACACATGTGGGCAGTACTTTGACACCTATTTATAAATAGTACAAACTATGCATACATAATATTGGCTTAAAACCAAAGGCTGTAAATTATCACATAGTTCTTTGAGCTGGGGTGCAGTAGCATTAACAGCCTTTAAAACCATGGTGACCCCACGGCTCAGCACTGCTCAGTATGTTTGTGTATTCCAGATACCCCCCCCTACTCCCTCACCCCAAAGGATCCATGTGCATACTTGTGACTGGAACCAGGTGTTCTTGTTGCAAGTCCTGGGATGCCCAAAAATGTATATGCAGATGAGACACAGGACAACCTGGTCTAGTTTCACTTCATGGAGGGTGGGGCCATGCTAATCATATGTGCCAGGGTAAGAGAAGGGTCAACAGAGGGATTCTGAGTGAACTGTATGCAATGTCATAGTTCACCATAACTGCAAAAGAAAGGTGGTAAGAGGCACTGCACTTAATGGGCACTGCCATATATCTTATTCAGGCAGGCTGTATATATTTAGCCTTACATCAGTGTCTGTCAGCTCAGACCAAGCATAGTCTATGCTCACCTGGCAGGGGAAACACTGAGGTGGTCTTAGCCGCACGGGGGAAGACTGCTTTCCTGGCACGGGGGATAATACCTGCCAAGGTAATGAATAATAAACCGCCAAGATAACGAATAGTAGACCGCACACTTAGTTGCTGGAGTGGGAAGGTCTTGGCTTTAAGCCCACTTTATGGAAATGGGAGAGTCTTCCCTGGCTTACCCTCACCTGCAAGGCCCCAGAGGCAAGTAAAACTCTGTGGCATCTGACCCCCAAGCTTCCGGGCTTGGGCCTGCAAACAAGATTCCCACCAAAGGTTTTGGAAATGTCTGAAGCCCCAGATGGGGGTGGAGGATGTTTGCTGGTAAGAGGGCCACTTATGGTTCTGGACTGACTCTTGGAATTTGTTTTGGCTAATTTGGGTTGGAATATAGAAAATTTAATAATAATTAAAAAAAAAAAAAACAAAAAAAACAAAAATACTACTGGCAGGGGAAATA